TCGATTCGATTGTATCATTTATTTGAAAAACTCATTGAATAAGCTAAAAGACAACAATCAATAATAAAGAAAAGAGAAAACATGAACTCTCATTAAAATATATTGTGCATATTTATTTGCTGATAAAACTCTTACAAAAATAGTGCTATTATTAAATTCCATATTTCCCTACGCTATTACTACAATTCACATGAATCCGGAATACATACATAAAAGTTTTTCTTCGTTTAACGAATGCTGACAGATCAAACACTAAAATCAATAAAGTCCTCCACCATAACCTAATGTAGTTGTTACACCATAGCCTAATAATTGTCCTCAAATCATTCAAATATTACATCTATCATTACGAACAGTAGTAAATGCCAAGATTGGATAGAAAACGCTAATAATAAAGTGCTACATACTAGCCAATTTCTGACCAAAATACAATTGTGTAATAAACGAATAACTTACAGGAAGATTGATACCCCCAACACCTGCAGGAAACCCGCCAACTGCCCCAGGGAACCCGCGACCTCCAGAAAATCCTCCAGGAAATCCAAGGCCTGCTCCTGCACCACCATTAATAAAACTATTGTAACTAGCAGCAAATTGCTGTGTCCATGGTACTAATAAATTAATTTCTGGTCGGTATCCTAGTCCGCCACCTAATCCGCCGCCTAATCCGCCACCTAATCCACCCAAGCGACGGCCATATCCACCAAGACTCGATCCTAATCCTCCTGAGCCAAATGCCATTTTGTATAAGAGTATATAGCTAATATTATCCTTATTAAAGAAACTTTTCTGTTAATAGTTATTTTTTTGTTGTTGCGGTTTGTGGTGTTTTGATGTAATATTTTTTTCTGTCCCTCTCTCTATATATAGTGTATGTGGTTTTTTTTGGCACATTAAAAAGATGCTAACAAGAAGATAGTCCATCCAAGTGAAACGAAAATACATAAACATACAAGCGTATAAACATCTAATATTATGGAAGAAAAATCTCAGCCATCCAATACATGATGTTACTCTTGAAAAGAACAGGTGATCAGGCTTGTTTACCTGTTTTCGTTCTGTTGACTAAATATGAGTCTAAAAGTTTACTTTTTTTCTTGTGCACATAATAATACAAATATATTTTTATACTGGTACTAATTCTTCTATTGCACTAATTACATTAAAAAATGAGGAAAACTTTGTAACCTGATTGTTATGTTATCAATTTTGATTTGCTAATTGAATTTTCTCAATATATACAATCAAATTAAATTGATTGGTCATGGATAAATGATTTCATTCACTGGTGACATGTGAGAAACTTAATATGCACTTTTCGAAAATGCTGGATAGATAAGCATGAGCGGGCCAGAAAACTTTTTCTAATAGAGTCAATAAACTTTCTAGAGTGGTACATGCAGAAACGTACTTCCTAGAGATGTACTTAATTTTGCAATCAAATATTGCTCTTTTAATAAAATATTGAAGTTTAAGAAATATACTGCTGCGAAATATAATTCTTCACAGGGCAATAACTCCTTATTTGATCCTGATATTTTTCTGAAATATTATATTACGTCTCCCAGTTCTTTTATTAGTACAATTATTGTGAACGTCAAGAATTTTTTCTTGTAATGAAAAAACTAATTATTTTGATAACTTATCGCGATGCAAAACATGTAGTCCTGAATTGTAGCCTTCTTTTTGAAAGTTGAGGATATGGAAAAGAAAGGTCGCGTTATATCGGAGACAAGATGGAGACAACTTGTACAAGAGTAGTTGCTTGAACTTACAAAGATCACGACACTCAGACTACCGTAGTCTGAAAACAGTGTTTTCTTCTGAATCCTGCTACTAGGATGTTGCTCTAATTATGAACAGTCAACTTTTCTCAATGCTTGTTTTCGAAAAAAGTAGTGCATTTTTTCAGAAAGAAACATCTTCCACCCGTTTGTAATTATTATTGACTTGAATACTAATTTGATTTTATACACCACTGATTAACGACTACGCCTCAACAGTGCATCATCACTACTCTCAAAAAAAATCCGTAGCTTACAGAACGAATATATCGATTTTGACATTTTCTCCTAATAGAAATCAATATCCGTATTTTACGATCCTGTTTAACCGTTTCACTGAATACGTTTGAATGGTTTCTCGCTCGCGTCAAAATGGATTAAGGTTCTGTACGAGAAATTTTGTAGGAGGAAACACTTTTACACGTATTCAGTGAAAAGATTAAACAGAACCGTAAAATACGGATATTGGTTTCTATTAGAAGAAAATGCCAAAAGCGATATTTGTTCTGTAAGCCATAAATTTTTAGAGAGTACTACGGAAAACTTTATGTAGTACAGAAAATAACGGATGCGGCATAAATAATAATACCGCTAGTATTTCGTCAATGTCTCGGTGAGTTTTCATCGTAGAGACTTGAGTTGAGAATCTCAAAAGATTCTCCAGTCAATTCTCTTCAAAACCCTAAGAAAAGAGCACGCACAATACGTAACCGTAAATTCATAGGCTGTCAACACTGCAATGTCCCGCATGGGAGCACTTTTCAGCGCATATTTTCAGAAGATTAATTATGTCTCTGATTCTGCCTAATCAGACGCGAACGCACTCTGATATGAGTTTTTTCATGTTTTCGGACATGCTCTTTCTCACAGCATTCAAAACGACTCTCTTAGACAACACAGTGAGTTTCCTGTGGCAGATTTCCTTAAAAAATGAGTTGGAACCAGGGAGCATCTTCCTCTCCCGCACTATGGATGCCAAAAGAAGACTTGTACGCCAATTGGGTTGATTAGACATGATAGAGAAAACATTTTTCTGCACTTTTGTAAAACAAAATTGGCAAGACAACGTTACACTTTGTCCTACCTGTACAAAATTTACAATGAGCCCCATTAGTAGGGCGTAGAAAACCGAATATGAAATAAAAGGGAAAAGGTCTCGATTACAAAGGCTTAAAATGAAAAACTTATCAGTTATTTCTGAACTGTTAGACCATTGCAAGAGCTACAAAATGGCATATTCAATTTTTCTCTATGCGACGAAAGTGCGGCGAAAAAATAAAAACAAAACGTAATATTGGTTGGAAAATGCTCCCGTTTGGGACATAGTGGTGTGGACAGCCTATGAATTCACGGTTATTTGTTGTGTGTGCTCTTTTCTTAGGGTTTTCTAGAGACATAAATGGAAAATATTTTGGGACTGTGTTCAAGTGTCTACAATAAAAACTCACAGAGACATTGACGAAATACTGGTCGTACCATTATTTATGCCGCACCCGTTATTATAAAATTAAAGCAAAAATAAAAGATAAATCGAAAAATCACACATTGTACACCTTGTCTTCACCTTGTCTTCATTCTATCAAACAAAGGAATGAAATATAATAAAATCTTCGGAGCAGCGAATGAACCAAATGATGGGGAATACGAAGTAAATTCATTAATTCAATTTATCCATAAAATATTAACTGTATCTCTTGAAAATATTTAAAAAAATAGTTAAAACGTACAGAAGATAAATGAAAAACAAAGGAGCAGTTTTAGAGCCTAGTTGTGCAATATCATTCAGATTCTGTTATTTTTCACGTTCATCAAGCTGGAAATAGTTAAAACCAGCTCGATGGTACAACATTCATGTGGGTAAATATTTACCAAACTTTGAACGTGTGACCTCTTTTTCAACATCAGCTTCCAGCCCTTCTCATCGGACTACTTATAGAAGTCTCTTTTCATAGTTAGATCGGCCATTATCGCGTTTTTTGGAGAACAACGCGTTCCTTCCGAAAACTGAAAATTTAACCTTTGAAATTTTTTTTCAGCAGAGCTACATTACTTGAAAAAATAGGTGACAGATCCTCGATTAACGGCGTAGATTCTTAACATCACTTCAGAGTTGGTGAAATTCGCGTTTATTTTAGATATCGCATTCAGAATTTGTTTCTTTCTGATCTGACCGAGCAGTTGCAATAAATAAAAAATACACCATTGGATAACGTTCAAAGTGATGATTTTTAATTGACGGACAACTGTTTTTTTCAAGTTCAAAAAACACCTTTATTTTAAAAACTGTTTTTCCTGGTTGGACAAAATTTGTTGTTGAAATTTTTTAAATGATATTTCCTTGATCGGATTCTTATGGCAAATCTTTTGATATGGGTCTCCTCTCCACATTTGTAGAGAGAGGTCTATATAAAGCGTTGATACCACATGTAACTATATCCTTAGTTAAAGTACCAATTCTTCTGAATATTAGAGATGTGCAAGGTAGCTGTTTCTGGAGCCTTGGCCCTATACCTGTGAAAAACTGTTGTACGCTCCTCCTACCCTATCCTGTGACACCGAAGCTCTGGCTCTACCCTACTCTGTGGTTTCAGGTGATCTTAGAACCCTGGCCCTATCCTACCCTGCAGGGTAAGGTAGGGCAGGTTAAGGACACTCTGCACATCTCTACTACGTACGTGGTTTTTAGTAAACAATGAAAGACTTTGCGGCATTAGTATTGAATTCAGCATAAAACTTTGGATACATTTGACCGAAACAACTTCGTGAAAACAGTAGAAATATCCCCACGTCATCAAAATCACGTAACTTTTCTCGACTGATCGCGATTTTTCTGCTGTATTTCTATCTCGACAAGTAAAAAAAAGCGCAAGACTAGTCTTTTCAGAGTTCAGGTGTCCCGTACACACTAGATCATCTGAATATTCACTAAGGTGGCTTCACTATGCAAGCGAAGTACTTAAGCTCAAGTATATTTACTAACGATGTCATAAAACTGCCAATTCGGTATCACGATACTAAACAAGAGTTCTCGGATCAGTTTTGAAGTGTCCTGATACCTATATTTGAAAAAAAACGGTAGTTGTAGCGCTACAATCAACATGAAGAAAAATACATTCTGAATGTGTAATCCCGAAACACTCCAGAGATACTCAAGAACTTTTTTTGACAGAATGGTTCCGATTTTGGCAGTTTTATGTCATCACTAGTAAATATACTTGGGCTCAGCGCTTCGCGTATGTAATGAAACCAGTACTTGAATTGAACAGAGATCTGAAGTTCTATTAAACAATATTTTGTCGCTGTCCTTGAAAGATATCAAGGGTGAACGTTGTTGGATAGAAAACCATTAACAAAGAATTATTATTGTTTTCCTGTGTGAATCTTCATCGGAACAAACAATACGAGCATCCTTTTGAGAATATTATTTTTGATATAGATTATTGGTTTTTTCCATTAAATGAAGACAGTTTAGACAAAATGGTAACATATAAGATGCTATGTTTCACTCGAACGTTCTATTAGAATAAAAATATGTTTCCTCATTATTGGAAAGAGATGTTGATCGTTGATCGTTTTTGGTCATCTCGTTCACTATCTCCACCGGCACGACGATTAAAACCGACCATAAATACATCGTCGAAACCATTTCGAAAAAATTATGTCGATAAGTGAGTAGTGCTGTATACTTTATACAACTTCAAATATTATTTTTTATCTACCTAAATAGGCATGCACAGGTTAAAAACCGATATTTTTAGCTTGTTTCGAAAATAGATTGTATGAAGAGTATGGCATATTAAATTTTTCTCATAACTGAGTTTTGTAGAGCAAACATTTCTCTATAAATTAAGCTGTATGGAATCTTTTCATCTCTTCTCTTTTCCTTGCAATCACCGTTCTACAAAGAGCCCCATTTATCGCTATAGCTACATAACCAAAATCGTTAAATGGGGTTCTTATTAAATAGTTTTTTTTATAAGTGCTGGATCATCATGTTGTAGAGAAATGTTTGCTCTACAAAGCTCAGTTGTGAGAAAAATGTAATGCCATACTCTTCGTAAAAATGTAAATGCCATACTCTTCGTACAATTTAGTTTTTGCGAAAAGAGGATAAAAAATCGGTTTTTAATCGGTGCATGCCTATACCTGAATCATCCTCTTAGCTGATGAACCCTCTTGACTTTGACAAAGAAATGAACTTACGGTCATCACAGGAGAGGTTCAAAAAGAATGCTGGTGTATTTAGTCATTACGAAATAAAAAGTTTTATGTATTATGTTCAAGCGAACGTAAGCTAGCGAAAATATTTCTCGGAAATTGTTTGTTATCGTACAATCGCTGGCAAGGTTTTCAAAAATGACTTTTTATGCTTAAAAGTAGAAAAAACACTCTTTTTACAATGTTTCACTTAAAAAACCCATGTTATAGGAAAACTTTTCAAAGCTTATTATATACAACCAAAGATTGTCTGCAAAATAACTCTACCGCGACGTTGATCGGACATTCCGATAAAATATAATGAAGTATTTTACAATACCATCGAAATCAAAATTTTAATTAAAATTAAAATTAAATTAATTAATAACTCTGTGAATAGTTATTAGTTCATCGAAAAAACTGAAGGATATATGTAATCAGGTGTCCTCTTCAAACTGCCATAGTTTGAAGGCACATATAGATGGGTGCCCTCCCCCCCTTCTGAATGATGAACACTCAGTATATAATTTGAAACAGAACGTATTAAGCTGACGTTTTTATATTGATCTTGCTTGTTACGTATACTTTCTTTTTTTGCCAAAATGCTTATGTAATGCTTATGTGGTATGGTGACAGTTTTATTTTAATTTGTATAATAATAAATGAACTGACCTTTCTGTACGCTGAAAAGAAAAAAATTCTTCTTATCTTTTGTGCTCTCTGTCTTTGTTTCTTTATCCTGACATCAGTTCAATACATTCCATATTGAATAGTTGTACTAAATCTTATAAGCTTCGTTATTTTTCTTCTTCTAATAATTTGAAAGACCTGTGTGTAGCGAATTTGAAAGTCTTGTTATTATTGAACTCGGATGTGTATGTTTATTTATCTTTTCTCAACAATTGAGCAAGTATGTATTGTTAGCTTTCAATAGAAACATACTACACTGTTTTTATCATACTCTACTTCAGATAATAACGAGCACCTTCATTTGTGAATAGATTAATAGTTTTAATACGTGATTATATGTATTTTGTTTCTTCTATGACCAAAGCTGGTGTTCGTATGGTTTAACAATACAAAGAATTAGTAGTAACAAACCTATATAATAAACATATATTCGAATAGTTCTGAATATTTGATAATCATCGTGTGACTATTTTGTTTTCTTTAAAAACAAAAATTAATTTTGATCATTTTTGAAAAGTTTAAACTATTTTATATATTGTTAAACTAATTTAAAATTCAATGTCATATCACAATAAATATTATTCTTAGTTTTTTTAAAATATTACATAAAGAAATGGTACGTGCTATTTGACATACGGTATTTTATCTAAATAGATCTTTATTTTTTACTACTTGTTTATTTATAATGAAGTCTTTTACCGTGAATTTATTTGTGTTTTCGTCTCGATAGTAATTGATCATAATATATCTTTTATTGTGTTAACAGAGAAAATCTATTAAAACATAGGTACATATTAGCTCAACTCTATTTGACCGTGTGTGCATCTCTCTCTCTCTCTATATATATATATGTTTTCTCTATTAAAAAATATAAAAAAGAGGAAGAAAATATCACACCTTATAACTAAAAATAAAGTGGCATTGTTTACCAAGTACGTGTGTTATTATTGTAGGACGATTGATTAAGTATTGAACGAACGTGTGACATAGTTTTTTCTTTTTATAAATTTTCTTTTTAATAGTTTGTCTGTCAAAACGTTCTCTCTCTTTCTCTATATGTACAACAATAAATGAGTCTTTATAGACGTACCATAACTTGAGATCGAATTATAGATATGAGTCAAGTAGTAGAGAGAGAAAAGAAGAGAGAGAAAGACGGGATCAGGTTCTTTTCTTTTTATTCTTTTTCTTTTTTTTTGTTGAAAAGCAGCAGAGAGAATGAACGAATTTCTCTAACAAAATAAATTCATCTTGTACAATAATTCGACCTTTTTTGTTTATAATCAGACTTTACAGTAAATACTAGAAGACATAGAAGTAAGAAATAAATATATATATGGGAAAATGAAAATGAAAATCACTTAAAAAAGAAAAATTAGGATTGATTTCTACAAAAGAAAGTACAACACGATTTTGTTTGATCGATTTGGCAAGTGCATTTTTTTTATTTTATTTATTTGATTAACACTTGTTATAAGTGTCAGAAATATAAGGCAAGGTTAAGATATTATTTGGGTATATCAGAACCCACTGTTGAAGAATTTCCTTATCCATACCTTTGATTAAGACACAATTTTTCATTTGTTTTGTGCCGAAAAGTACGTATATATATTAAAGATTTGAAAGTTGAACTTATTATTTCAAGAATTATATGAGCATAATACTCGTTCATACATACGATAATGATCAATCGATCATAATCCTTTCACTGTTACTATACATATAGAAAATCTCAAATTTTTTCAGACACATCACTGTTTAATTTACAATTGACTAGTGTACTATCGTAGCGACATAAACAAACACTAGTACACTAGTGATTCTCGAAAAGAAAAATTTTAAGGAAAAATAATTTCTTTTGTTCTCTTCATCCATCACCTGCTATCTATCTGTATCAATAACTTGTATTGATTGAACTGATTAAATTACTCAAATATATATATGTAAACAAAAAATTTATTATATATTTCGTTTTTGTACTTAGCTAAAGTTAATGATCTATATAATATGTTATTCTTATTGTAGATTGAAAAATATTAGTTGCATGGGTGAAATGGTGAGTGTAGTTATAATTTTTAAAAATTTCTTATAATCTGTATCTGTTTAGGATTCGGATAGCGATCCAGCATTTACCGTCATATCGAAAACAAAACCGGGGTTTTTTATATGGCGTGTAGAGGTAAGATAGTTTCTTTGTTTCCAATGTATGAGACTGAGATAATTTAATCTTTTTTTTTCAGAATTTCAAACTAGTCGCTGTGCCGCGAGAAGCGTACAGTATCTTTTTCAAAGGTGATACCTATGTTATCTATCACGTAAGTATTGTATTATTAATCGAAAAAAAAAAAATCCAGTAGAAGAAATGAGACGATTGCAATTTTATTCCGAAAAGTATTTTCATTTATTGTTGTTACAGGCTGAAGAAGTAAGAAAATCTTCGATTAATATTCATATTCATTTTTGGATTGGCGTTGAATCAACTCAAGATGAAGCGGGTGTGGCTGCTTATAAGACCGTTGAACTAGACGATTATTTATCGGGAATAACTGTTCAACATCGTGAAGTTCAGGGCAATGAATCTGAACAATTTTTATCGTATTTTAAATCACGTGGTGGTCTCACGTATCGCATAGGTGGAATTAGCAATGGTTTTAATCGTTATGAAAAAAGTGTAGTATCGCGTTTATATCGTTTGAAAGGTCGACATAATGTTCGTCTAAATGAAATGGCATCGATCGATTGGTCACAAATGAATCATTCAGACATATTTTTAATCGATTTATATGATGTTATTTATCTATGGAATGGAAATAAATCGAATAAATATGAACGATTACAAGCGATACAACGTGCAAAACAATTAAAAGATGAACGAGCAAGTTTAATAAAAATAAATATTGTTATTGTCGAAGATGGTGAAGAATCAAGAATGAGCAAAGATGAATTAAAATTATTTGAAACAAAATTACCATTAAAAGAAAAAAATCTAAAACTCGATCAACATGTCAATAATGGAAATAGTGAACAAAATGGAAATGAGTATGAAGCAGATTTTAAAATAGAACGAGCAGATGCGGCACACATCAAATTGTACAGGTACAAATAGAAAGTGATTAATACGAGTTCAATGAGAAAGCTATACAAATTTAAGGCTACTCATCAGAGTATCTATCGAACAATCAGAATACATTGGGAGATCTCGTTAAACAACTGTCAAGAGATGTTTATGTAATCAAAATCTTCAGTAATTAATGTGCAATTCGTTTTATTTCTAGATGTTCAGATGAAAGTGGTACATTGAAAGTGACCGAAAAGAAAGCAGGTCCATTGGTCAAAAATGATTTAGATACTGAAGTAAATGAAAAATAATTTAAATTTTTTGTTCAATGATGCTTTTATTGTAATTTTATTTTCAGAAAGATCAATGTGTAAGTAAGAGATTAGATTGCATATTTACTCACATCTTCGTTACTAGGAGTATAAAATTGTTTTTACTAAAAACATAGAATATTTAGTATTTTCTCTTACACTGAAGTTAGATTTTATAATACATTCTTTTTTTAGTGTAAAATATTAGCCATTCTTAAATATATAGTACATATACTTGTTGTGATACATACTATACTCTTTTTATTAGAGTATATTTCTTTCAAAACACGAGTGCTTCTAATACCACTTCAAATTGTTCGTTTCGTCCTAATAAACTTGATAGCGCGTCAAATAGACTACAAATTTTTTGTTATATCATTGGTAGAAATTTTATATATTTATTGAGACATTTTTATTTACTTTTTATCTAGGACGCATTTATTGTTGATAACGGACGGTATGGCATATGGGTTTGGGTTGGAAAAAGATCAAACCCAAAAGAACGACGAGAAGCAATGAGAAATGCATTGGTAAGCTGAATTTATTCAGTAATACAGTGGTGACCGAAATCTTCCCTCCACTTTTTTGTTTCGTTTATTATCTTAAAAATCAGGAACATTATATGTATGTTTAACTGAAGAGTAATGATTGACTTGGTTAAAGAAGTAATTGATGTTGACTTGGTTCAGGATAACCATGATAGACATTGGTTTCACGCACAACTCCACAGATGATAATAATTGTTAATCTGTTATTCTGATATTACATAATATGAATTGATCATTATACTTTCAATAGGTTACGTTCTGATCTTACAAAATCTTAAATGCATTTCATGAAAGAGAACATGCAGAGATAGTAAATTTACAATTACAATCAGTCAAAAACTGAAAAAAGAATTAGTCCTCGATAATCGTTAGTCGATAATTCGTTCTTTTCTGAATTTAAAAAACACATTTTACAACGTCTATCGTTCTCAGTGAGTTCATATTATGTAATATCAAAAGAACAGATTAATAATTATTATCATCTCTGTGGAGTTGTGCGTGAAACCAATGGTCTACCATGATTGCCCTGGACCAAGTCAACATCAACATTTAACATAACAATATCATACATCATATTCATGTACAAAGTGTTTTTTGAAAAAAAGATAATTCTCGTTCTTCGTATATATTTTGTACGATGTATTTAAGTACTGGACGCATGCATCGTATATCTCTGTGCTCTATTACTCTTCAGTCAAATATACATATCATTGTATTAAATTAATGTTCCTGATTTTTAATATAATAAGTAAAACAAAAAGTGGAGGGGAGATTTTGGTCACCATTGTAGATGTGTGTCATCACTTTTTTTGTTTCAGGGCTTTTTACAAAAAAAAGGTTATCCAAAGCAGACAAAAGTGACTCGAGTGATTGATGGTGGTGAACCAGTTGAGTTTATTGCCTTGTTCAAAACATGGTCGGATCCAAATCAACAGAAAGGTCTTGGAAAACTAAACACAGCAGGGCAAATAGGTGAGTACATTTTGGAGAATATTACTTCGTTTAACTATATCCGTAGATACTTGTTTTTGTTTGCAAACAGTTTGTAGACATTCAACCAGGAGAGTACGTAATACATTTGAGGGACGCATTCCAATTTGACGGTTTTTGTTTACGTGTGGCTAAACGAATGCTTGCATGTCCGTGAGATTTAAATCAGCTCAGGGGCTTTCATCCTGTGATATTCTTGAGGCAAACTGTCTTAAACAAAAATCTGAGTAAGTACATTTTTAAATTTTGAGAGATTGTGCCTGGAAAAGAATGAACCGGCGATCAAAAGCTAGAGGTTCCAGCCGAAAAGAGGCAGAAAACATGCAGGCCTACTCAAAAGAATGAACAACAGGCTGTGTGATCTAGAGATCTCCATGCGCACGATTTTTCTGCGCGTCCATGTTCGCAGACCTGTCTGGGATGTTTGTCGGTGGCCGCCCGTGGACCAAAAATCCGTAGTAAGGTAAAAAGATCAGGTTTTCCGTGTCCATGCAGATCTCTAGTGTAAACACATAGAAAGCGTTTTGATGCAACAGATGAGTTCGTCTTATGAGAAAAAATATTTTTAAGGGTACAATTTGCCACAAGCCTCTAAGGAGGGATATAAGCCCCTGAATTAGTTATGTTTGATCTTTGCTCATCATTTTTACTAACAAAACATCCATTAGGGTACCCAGATCAAAAATTTTAAAAGTAGTACTTTACGTGCTAGAAAGTGGAACCTTTACGAAGCAAAAGTAGTCGACTGTTTGAAGTTGTAAATGACTTTTTTCATAAGTAAAGTATCATGAAAAGAAACCCAAACTTCCCCACCATAGTAAATTTCACAAAAAAAATACGCATACAGTTATAGTAAAATAAACGCTCTCATAAGAATACAGTCCTTACAATTTCTACTATATATAAGTAAACTGACTAGAGTTTCGACGCAAAGGCACGTACACTGTGTTGATTAACTACGATTGTATGAATTCTTGGCGAAAACCGGAGTAAATTGTCAAAAACATGTGTCCACGGTGAGAGAAATATACAGATGGGATTACTCACAAGAAGTGGGATAATCCCATCGAGCAATCCTGTCGCCCATACATTGCAAGCAGTGCTCTGAAGATGTCTGATACAGATAAAGTGAAGACTAGGTATGTTACAAACCCAAACCCAAGTCCAGACTTGGGTTTGGGTTTGGGTACCCAAGTCTGAGACTTGGGTTTGGGTTTGGGTACCCAAGTCTGAGACTTGGGTTTGGGTTTGGGTACCCAAGTCTCGGACTTGGGTTTGGGTATTGGGTACCCAAGTCTGAGACTTGGGTTTGGGTATTGGGTACCCAAGTCTGAGGCTTGGGTTTGGGTTTGGGTACCCAAGTCTCGGACTTGGGTTTGGGTATTGGGTACCCAAGTCTGAGACTTAGGTTTGGGTATTGGGTACCCAAGTCTGAGACTTGGGTTTGGGTATTGGGTACCCAAGTCTGAGACTTGGGTTTGGATATTGAGTCAGACTTAGGTTATTAAAAGACTCCTTTTAACTGAGATACCTT